GTTCCCTGTAAGCAGGACATCAGCCAGCAAAGCCTTATTGGTCTTACTGGTCAGCAAAAGGAACTGTTTCTTGTCCATGAGGTTAATGCAAACACCATTTTGCACCCCCCCAGTAAGCACTTTCCCGGAGAACCTGCAGCCTGTGCTGTACAAAGAAAGTGGGAGTAAGGGATGGTGGGGCAGTGACAAAGGGAAAGGAAGGAGTCACTCATTTGTAGACATGCAATTATTATCTTTAAATAAGTAGAGCTTTTGAAAATGTGATTAAGGAAACGCGGGGATAAAGTAAAAATCTGAATTGCTAATTAAAAAAAAAACCAATATGCTTGTAATGATATCATGTTGAGGGATAAACAAATTCAGTACTAGCAGTTTTCTTTTAATAATTTTGATGCTCAGTGTAATAACCACAACCAAGAAAAAAAACCCAAAACAATAAAAAATCACCCATTTTCATCAGCCTGGACTATCGCGCCTTGGGGTGCATTTCAGTCGCCCCCGTGCGCAGGATGCCTGAGGCAATTCTCCTGCTTAATAGGCATTTTCCACAACACACTGTGAAACAATAATGCTAATTATCATGAAGATAGATTTACAACCGTCTAGGGCACCACGCCTTGAAATCAGGCAGCATTCATCATCAGCATCAACCCTCGTTGCTCAGGGTTGCTAATGACTCGTGAGGCTCCCCCCGTCCCCCCAGCTGCCGACAGCGCCCCAGCGCTCACCTGATGGTAAATAGCCTCCCAGTTCTCCCGCAGCGCTCCCCAGCTGCCCACGCTGGCTGCTTTCTTGTCCAGGTAGACTCTGATGTGCTCTTCCAGCTCCTGGTTGACCTGCTCTAGAGCTCGCACCTTCTCGATGTACTCCACCAAGCAGCCATTCAGGCTCTCATAGGAGAGACCCCTGCCCTTCTCCAGCCCCGGGGCCAGGGGCACGGCGGCAGAGGAGCTGCGCAGACCCTGGAGGAAGACGCTGCTGATGCCCAGGGCTCTGCGGGACACTCTGGTGCCCAAGCTGCTCACGGGTGGGGACGGTGCCCACATAGACGCCAGGGGGTCTCGACAGGCTCACTCCTCCCCCGACGCTCACCCGGCGGCCGGATGGCCCTGAGCTTTCGGCCGCGGAGGAAGAGGGCTGCTGCCCCAAGAAGGATGACCGGCGCCTCGGCAAGGGCATGCTGCTGCTCCGGCCCGCCGAGCACCGACGCTCAGCCTGGCCGCCTTGCCCCGCACTGGCGGGAGGGATGTGCCAAGCCCAGCAGGTTGGGGCTCGTGCAGGGTTTCGGCTTTGTGCGACGGCTTTCTGGAAGGGGGGCTTTGTGCTGCCCGGGAGCGCCCGTCACATTGTCTGGGTGGCCGCTGGGTCAGCAATCCCATTTCAGGGGAAATCTCCGGGCTGCTGCTGCTGCAAATGTGGCAGATGAAAAGCACAATGGTGTTTACAGGGACAGCAGGATGGGGATTCAGTACGTGTTAAAATACCAGTGGTGTTTTCTACGCTGACACCCAGATGATTTCCTGCCCTTATGCCTGCAGGTATCTAGGCGTACATTACAAACACGTTGGCCGTTCACACCCATGCTTGCTCCAGACAGAGTCTCCTCCAGCAAGACATTACCTAAAGTTAGCAAAACCCAAAGTTTTGAGGAGCTGGCCAAGCCGAGCCAGCCTTTTGCTGCCGCAGAGCCTCGAATGCTCCCTCAGCCCCATTGCAGCTTCTGGATTTCTCTGTGCTTTGACTTCACCACCCAACCAAGGCACGTTGCCCCAAACCCAGCAGATTTTAACTATGGACACACACCCTCACATCTACCCCTGCTCAGTCGGTTTAACGTCATGTTACCAACTGCACCCGGTCTGTTCAACAAGGGCCCATTTCCCTTTGCATAATGTGGGGACAAAGTCAGGCAACTGTGAACTGAAAGAAAAAGGCAATCCCCGAGACTTATTGCAGGATATGGGGGAGTTTTCCCCAGCTCTTCTTTTTATGTCACTGCTCCATAGCGACTAGTGATCAGGTGGGTAGTTTGTAGGTACGTAAGTGGGACACATGCATGGTACAGTAGGATCCTTTGCTATACAACATTAGCTATAGCTTTTTCTACCGACACACAGGGATGCTTCACAACCAGGATGCCAGACTTGTTCTAGCATAGCGTTAGCGTGTGCGCATCTTTGTAGGCATGCCTGCAATGTGCTGATGTTGGGCATCGCCCTAATGCAGCGTAGGCTTGTACAGGGGCAGCGGTGAGTCTTTGGCGAGATGGAACACAATCAGAAATCCCTGTCTTCCGAGGGTGCTGAATCCTGGTTTGCGGCTGGAGTTTGTTTTGCTTATTCTTTTTAAGTTTGAGAACTGTGAGACTGCCTACAGTCGGGTCACTGTTTCCTGGTTGTGTGAAGCCTGGGAATAGCACAGCATCTCACAGCTTTGCAAATATTTTGGCTAGTTTCTAGGCATTCTGCATTTAGATTACCAAGCAAATTGTGCTGGCTAAATGAGAGGAATCCTCCAGTATTTCTTACATAACATTTTCAGTGTATTTGCTCTGTGTCAAATAAAAAAAAAAATGCCTTGCAAAAGGTATTTTTGGGGACAAAACCCCCCCAAAAACCCACACAAAACAAAAAAAACCAAAAACCCAAAATTTGTTTTCTGTACCATGTACAGAAAACAAATGTAAAAATATGGACTTTTTTGCAAAGAACTGAATTTAGTTATCTGTAACCTCATTCTCTTTTTCCATCTTCCTGTTGAAATAGAAGTTGAAGATCCTCATGGGATTCCTTTTGCTCTTGGCAAGACCCTAGGAAGTTTTTACTGTATAAATCAACTAGTGATTTCCAGGAGGCTGTTTCATATTTGATCATGAGGACTGCAGATATCATATTGTATAGCATTTATCCCATGGTGAAAATATATATTCCCAGAGTTCCCATCCATGTCCATACACAGCCACATCTTCCTGCATGCCCCGCTCACCTCGTAGGGAAGCCATGCATTACTCTCTGATTCTGAGCAGAAAGTCAGATATCTAGAAGAGCCCCTGTAACATTACAATTTTCTAATTTTAGGAAGCCTGTGGCCCGCATTTAGATTTGTGCCTTGGTGCAGTAGAAGTGCATGTGTGGGACAAGGAGGAAGGAGGGGCAACAATGCCTCTATGGCCCCCCCATCCCAGGAGGAGCCACGTCTTGGTCCAACTCCAGCCATCATTTAGTAAAGTTGTCAGGTCGCTCTGACTAACCACAGCCACCAGAACATTGCTGGCAGGTGGGAACAGCCGGACCAGATGTGCTGCTGCTATAATTCCTTTTCCTGGTAGCAGCCGTTGCTCACCTTGAACAAGGCATATGGTTAATGATGCTACACCAACCCTGTCCTGCTCAAACTTCCCTTTTACGCAACCAAGCAATAAACCTGAGCAGCCAGTGGCACGGAGCAGCCATCTGGAAAGGGGGTAAACTCCCTGCTGTCTCACAGCCTGCTCCTGATGAAGTGAGGAATGAAGGTAGAAAATAATGTACAAGGACTGATGGCCAGAAGTGGGGAGAGGACGGCCGAGACCTCAAAGGATGGAGGCTGTTTCACTTGCCGAACGATACAAAAAAGGCAATTTGAGAAGCAAAACTGAAAATTGGTCCCACAGTAACAGTTCTGGGTTACTCAAAGAGACAGCATTGATTTAGGCAAAGTCATTCCATGTTCCATGTTAGCCTCTCCTTGTAACAAACTATTTTTAATCCATCTTTTAAGCTTTGTTCACCCCTACTATTCCCCTAACACTATTACAGCCTGCAATCTAGTGCTTAACTGGGTAGGACTGAAATGCCACTTCGCTCCAAAACACTGCATTTTCGTTCCTAAAGGAGGAAGGAAAGTCTGAGAGAAGAGCAGGGGGTATGAGGAAACTTGATTCAATGGCACTAACAATATAAGCACACAAGATAAATAAAACAGTGAGGAAGTGGAAATGTGTAAAGCCACAGCTTCAGTTGGTGGGAGTCCCTAGTCACTAGATTTCAGCATTTCTGATAAATTTAAAGGAGGTTGCTGTTCCTTTGAAGGGAACACTCTACACACCTTCTTTTGAGGCTGTTTGTTCTGCAGGAAATAATTAAGGACTCATTGGACTGGAGCAGAGCAGCTTTGAATCCAGCGTATCGTGTGGTTAGGATATTTGGTGAAACGCTGGCACAGGTTGCCCAGAGAGGTGGTAGATGCCCCATCCCTGGATACATTCAAGGACGGGTTGGATGGGGCTCTGAGCAACCTGATCTAGTTGAAGATGTCCCTGCTTATTGCAGGGGGGTTGGACTAGATTAAGGTCCCTTCCAACCCAAACTATTCTATTATTCTATGATTTACACAGGAAAAAAAGGTCATTCTGGTCCTTGCTCCTGTGAAACACTTTTGGAGCTCAAACTGGAACTTGGATCTCCTGTTTAAGTCTGAAGAAGGTAACACATAACAAAGTCATGGGGCAACATTACTACCCAGAGGGGTTTGCCCATGTCTTATGTGGCCCTGGATCCCATGCGTGCATCAGGGTTTTTTATCATCCCACTGTAGCCCAGCTTCCCTGCTCTCCCCCTGCAAACCCCAGTTGGGTTCAACTGGAAGGGAGACTCTGGAGGACTCATCCCAGTAGGTGCTCAGGCACTGCTGGAGTCACACAAAGGATAGGAGACTGGCACGTGAGTCGTACAGACCACTTCTGGCAACCGGGATGGTCCTGTCTGGTTTGTATTCTAGCTTGGCAGTCTAAAGAACAGGGGTGACTGAAGTAATTTTACAGTAGAAGGGATGGTCATCAAGCAGGAAT